CAGGGTAAGCACCCTGGCGGGCCGGGCCAGTTTTATTTACCTGCTGACGCGGCAGGTTCGGCCGATCGCGGCCCCCACTGGCCGCGGTTCGCCGTCCCGGGCCAATGGGGGCGGCGAGAAGCCGCAGCCAGCACATCGCTCGCCCGCACCGCTTCTCGCCGCCCCCATTGGTCCGGGACGGCGAACCGCGGCCAGTGGGGGCCGCGATCGGCCGAACCTGCCGCGTCAGCAGGTAAATAAAACTGGCCCGGCCCGCTAGGGTGCTTACCCTGGCGAGCCGCGTGCTGAACGTTGCCGACCCCTGGTTTAGATAAACCCAAGAACCTGAAGGACTCTGCAGAGTTTTGTTGAATTTCGACCTTGGCCTGAAATCACACAAAGTCACCTGAAATCATAACTCAGCCCATGTTTGCTCACAACTCACCTCAGGTTAACCGCAGAGTCTGTGAACTTCACTCACATTTCAAGTTGTTACAAAATCTGAACCCATGTGCGCTTTGCTTTGTGTCAGGTTTCTTTCTGAACAATTCCTACAGCTCTGAAAGTAAAGCCCTCTTTCTTCTATGGAGGCACAAAAGCACATGTGCATGTTTAGTGGCACAGTTCCATTTTTGGAGATTTTGAAATATTGACCATGCATTTTGAAGTGCATACATGTTTAGTTTTAGTAACACATTTACCACTCCAGAACAGCTACATATAGTTGGGCTGCCATTTGTAAACCATTAAATTTTTTGAATATTTTCTAGTGAAATTAGAGAGACTAATACAGACACTTCCCCAACAGTGTATACAGAGACTTCCTCCATAGTGTCTCCGTTCCTTCTTACACACCTTATCTCTTATAGCCAGTGCAATTCCTGTAGATAAGATTCAAGTAGTTTTCTTTCTAGAGGGATTATTTTATGTCCTTTGGCATTTCACGTATGTGAGCCTTTCCAAGGCATGTTTCCTTCAATTCCAGCAGAGTGGACCAATTTTGCTTTGGCAGATATGGCAGGGGTTAACCATACCTAATGAAATTGTGAATTATTTCTATGCATTTCTCACCTATGTTCTTGTTTCACCCAGATTTCACAGAAATACCAGCCATCATATCTTTCTTATACATTTCTTCTGTACCGCTCTGTGTTTAAAATGAGCAATCGGTATCTGCAAGTATCTATACTATATAGATTAAACAAGAATTTTGTTTAAATACCAGAAAGTAAAGGTGTCAGTGATATTATGTGTTTTGAATAGCTAAGTTATCCATTACAAATATACCTTCTGAATAAATGTTGAACACAGCAGGAGATAATACTCCAAAACCAAGATACTGATTCCCTACCAGCATCTAGAGAGAAGAGTGATTGTTTGTGGAAGTGAATCCTCCTAAACTTGTATACACATGAGAATGAATGTAGAAGTTGTACATTTAAGATATTGTACATTGGATGATTAATAAGTGTAACAGGAATTCCTTTAGATAGCCATCATTTTGGAGTTTCTGTATAGCAGGGAGAACATACAATGGTAACATTTAAGCACTCTTCTCTGTGTATTTCTTTTGTTTGGGAGGCCATCAGAAAAGATCAGCAACCCTCTTATAGGGCTCCAGGGTCATTTTTTTCTCACATCAACCTGGACCTATGAATACCATTTAGGCCATTTATTTTGCCATCCTCCTTATTAGACTGGTGATGAAAACTCTTGCATGTGTGCTGTGCTCTAGGCACCACTTTTCCACTTCTGAATTCACCTTTTATTTCCATAGTTCTTATTGCTACTTTTTTCATCATATTCCCATCCTCCCTTCTTCCCTTCCTCCTCGCCTGGGAATTTCTCCATTATGTTTGAACTCTGTTGTTCACCATAAGGAGTCCTGTTGTATGGTTGAACAACCATTCAGCACCAAAAGATTTTTTTAACCTTCTCCTACCACCTTTGAAACCACTTGTATGCCCACTTCCCCCCCAAAATAATTTCTATGATTCTTTTCATATCATCATATCTTCCTGGGTCAGAATGACCACTCTGAAAAAATACATTTACATCACTAATTTGTTACCTACAGTGGCAGGGCCAAGGCAGTAATAGCATCTCTAAAGCCAGAATATACTTATGCTGGTTGTTGGCTTAGAGGGCCCTGTACCTTTAATTAAAAATGCATATCCTTATTAATACCCTATAGTGCATTAATTTTTACTGAAAGATAACAGCTACCTTATCTCTAAGGAAACTGGTCTTGATTTTATTAACTTACAGGACAGAAGAATAATTGGCACATATCATTGTCCAGAAATGTATTCAACAAAGGTATCTTTCATTGTTTTTTAAATGTTTTTATCCTTAGAGACTTAAAATTGAGGTCCTGACCATTTATGGTCATTAAAGATCCCATGGCACTTTTTGTAAGAGTAGGTACCACAACCCCAAGCCTCCTGGCCAAATTTCAATTTGTGTAATTATGTTCTGCTTATTTGACCTTCCCACCACCACCCACCCACCCATAGTTTCAATTGGCTACAGCATTCTTCATTTCCTGTATTAAAATAAAGTGTGTTGTTCTGCACTGATAGACAGTCACCACATTTCACCTGACAGGTGATTGCATTTCACTGGCTTGTGAAGTGATTCTTCTTTCTAAAGATTGTAAAGCGCTTTGGGATCCTGCTGTGTACAGTAAACATGATTCATTATCATTCTATCTCAAACATCAATTTAGTAACAAAAATACCTGTACATTTTATTTAGAGCTGGGCGAACCTGGTAAGTTCAAATGACACTCCTCACTCTAATCTCATAGTGAACCTTTTTTGAGGTTCAAAAGTTAGGTTGATTTTTTTTCATTGTTTTTCATTTTCACATCCCTCTGCTTCCTGGATTGGAAGTGAAAGATCTGAAATACCGTGAAAAATACTATTCTTGTGAGATGTTCAAACAAATGTTCCAGGTGTGAGAAGGTCAGATTAGTTCTGGAGACGCATGTGAACTTTTGTGTGCTTATCTGAGCATTCAACCATTTGGAGGTTCGCCCAACACTAATTTACTGTATTCGGGGTTACTTCTATTTTCCTTCAGAAAAGTTGTTGAGGTTTTGCAAAACCTCCTCTCCAGCTTTCATGTTGTTAGACAAACGTGATATGTGCAGAAGAAGACCCCTATCCCCAGAGACTAGTTTAGAATTTTAAATAAATAAAGGATCTAAAACAAAATATATTCTCGCAACTACTTCCTTTCTGTTTAGTGATACTAATCCACTATCTGCTGCCTATATATACATATATATATCAGGTATATGCAGCAGCTTGCTCTTCTGCCATATTTGCTAGGTGCACGCTAACATTTCAGTGATCTTAATGACATATCAACAGCAGCCATACAAGAAAAAAGAAATAGATAGTTAAGTGGAGAAAAGTTCTTAGCTGTTTACTGTAGCATGTCTAGTTCCAAGTCTATTTGACTATAATAAAACTTTTCCTGTGTTTGTATTTTCAAACAAAGTATATTCTATAATGTTCTTTAAAGAACACCTTGTGGGCTGATATCAGTGCGAGCCAGAGAGTAGATAAACTGTTCAGATTCAGTTCAGTCTCAAAGAACTTCAGCTGTGGCCAAATTTGGTTAAACCAAAGTCATTCTTACGGTAGATTCTTATCAATGTACAGCTGTCTATCTTCCTTTTAAAGCCAAAGTAATAGGCCTGACCTTTATTAAACCTCTTGGGTGAAATCCTGGCCCTATTGGGGTGAATGACAAATCTCCCATTGATTTCAGTAGGGCCAGATTTTCACCCCTCATATCTGGATTAGACAATATGGAAAAAGAAACTTTCAAAGGAGCTTGTAACTCATAATTTGTCCTAATTAATTATCTAATATTTTCCGTTAGTTAACCTCAGTATTTCCATAATTCAAAATATTTCTTATGATAACTACATGGGGAATTGCAGGGAAAAGTACAGGTATTTAGGTAAGCTTATGTATTTTTTTTTTTAATGGAAAAGTTTTAAGGTCCACTGTTGCACTCCTGATTTAAACTAGAGTAGAATTTAGTCCCATATCTTTGAATGCCCTGACTTTTGAGTACTCAGGCTTTTAATCATAACATTGAATTAATGCTTTTTTTCACTGAATACTTTTTTAATTGAATTGCCTTGTTTGAGTTATTAATTTTTTTTAAAAAGTTAGTAACCGCATTTGAAACTAATGTGCAATTACATTTAATGTGATTACACTCCGAAATAAATGCATTTTTTTCTTGCCTCTAAAGTTCAGCCCTGTGTTATTGCCAGTGCTATGGTCTGATGAGATGACCCAACATGCACTGTGCTTATGAAGATCATGAGCTTTGGAGAGTGGAGACTGCCTATAGGTATAACATAGAGTATGTCTGAATTTTCTCTCCCAGTAGCCAGTGGTTGTGTTAGAATTTCAAGATTTCTTATATGATCTTCTTACAAAACTGCTGAATATCTTGGGGGAGGAAATCATGTTTGCTTTATCCTCATAGGCATGCTCCAGCATTCATGTATAGCAGTACTGAATTCACCTATGTTGTGCACATTTGGAGGTTTTGCTAAAACAGAGGCTGCATTTCGTGGAAGTAGAAAACAAAACAAAACAAAACCTCCTAGCACTATATTAAACCCAGATATGTGTGCACAAGGGCAGTACCGTACTTTTTCAAGATGCATGGAGGTTTGTGCTAGGTATGTGAGATTAGGATATGGCCACTGACTCTGGGTAATAACTGTATTGCCTCTGCTCACAAAATCTGGGATCCAGCAAATATAATCTGTTCAGACGTACAGGACAGGCCTTATTACTCTTACCATTTACAAAAGAATGACAGTAAAACGGTAATGGTTGTATTTAAAGGACAGGAGTAGAAGTTTTTTAGATAGGCATCCAGTGGATTGGTATTGTTAGGTCCAACCTTTGTCAGTGTGGTCTCAGTTTACAACTGATTGGGCTTTTCTTTCCCCCATGCTAAAGCTGCCTTCTTATATCTTACAGATGGATCCACATGAAAACATTTTGTTGAGCACACTTGAAATTAAAAATGAGATGGCCGCCTCCGAGGCTGTTATGGGGCTTGGGGACCCTAGAAGCACTATGCTGGCCTACGATACTTCAAGCATCCAGTACCGGAAAGCTGGCTTGCCCAGACACAGCTTTGGTCGCAATGCCCTGGAGCGACATGTGGCACAAAAGAAAAGTAGGCTACGGAGACGTGCCTCTCAACTGAAAATTAACATCCCTGACTTGACTGATGTAAATGCCATAGATCGATGGTCACGCATATTCTTCCCTGTTGTTTTTTCCTTCTTCAATATTGTCTATTGGCTTTACTATGTGAACTAAAAAACAAAGCCACACAGAAAGCAAGAACTGGATTTCTCTTCAATTTGGTTGTACAGCCAAAAGTGGGACTTAGAAAAATTCTATTCAGGACAAAAGTTACTTTAAAACACCTTAGTTGCTGGCCCACTCTACGGTCTGTTTTATAATGTTTCGGTTGCTTCTGCTAAGTCATAAACACATTCTTAGTTACAGTAGAAACCGGTTCCCCCTTTTAAAAATGTGGGTATATATGAAGAGTGAAGGCAAAATTCCATTCAGTCATTTTTTTTCAACACTCATATCTGAGTTTAAACCTTAAACTATAAAAAAGGGAAATTTGGGAGACAGGTTTGAGTTTTAACAGCAGAATGTGCCATTTCTTTGTGAAATTGCACATCAAGTACATATGCATCTATACTTGATTAAGGAGTGTACTAAGATGCTATCATGCTTATGAAACATATACATTACCTTCTAAATGTGTAAACTTGAAAACAAGTAGTGCCTATCATCTCACCTTCATGATGATGATGGTCAAAGATTTCTGAGCAGTAGTCAGGTAATTGCTATTTTTTATTGAAAGACTAAACCTTTGACTGATATTATGAGCGGGTCAGGAGTTTGCACAGAAACTTAAGCAAGTAACACTAGTTTTGTTTTGGATTTTAAAGAGTTGGCATAAGGTCATAGTCACAACTCATTGTACTTGTGATATGTGGGGGAATGTGGAAATCAGATTTAGAGATGGACCAACCTGTCATGGCCTAAATGGTGGACATGTTGATATGCTCAGTTCCTGGGAGATGGAGTCATTTGTCCAAAGTGCCAAATGTTGATTGGCCAAATAATAACTTTACAGATGGCTAATGGAAACCATCTGTAAAGGTGCCCTGCTCTTTTAGGATAGAAAAAGGGATACAAGTGGCAACCATTCAAGATTGCGCCCCAGAGAAAAGGAAGGCTAGAATTATATTGTACACATGAATGTTGTCAGTCATAGTCCCTGTATTAGTCCAAAAGATTCATATGGAATTTTCTTTCAGGTTTGTAGGCTTCCGTGCTTTACACCTGAGAATGCTTTTATATTTAGCATCTAACATCCAATTTAAAGAGAGTTATTGAGAGAGCAGACAGTTACAGGAATTAATATCTTAGCTGTTTGAAGAATTCAGATTTCAGAAAGTTTCCAGTTTTGTAACTTCAATAGAAAATTTACAGATAGGATATTTTCTCCAGCTGGACTAGACAGTGCCATGCATTGTTTTTTTTAATCTAATAAGATATTATAAAGGGAATGATTTGGTAGGCATGCCTTTAAGAGATTAACTACGCTGTTCAGTATTTCCTGCTTTAGAAGGTCTAATGGCTACCTTTAAAAACTGGCAAAATTCAATTTTGCCTTAGAAAATATGGGAGTTTTTTATTTAAAAAAAAATAGTATCCTCTTGTTTTTCCTTCCATGTAATTTTATTTTTTTTATAGGAGAACTATTCCTAAAGGACGAGGCAAGGTAGAAAATGTGCTCATTTAATGAAAAATAAAAATTGACAACTGTGGTAAGAAAAAAGCACCAACTTCTAATGACTTCTACAGAATTATTCGGTCTACTGTTCGACGAAAAATAGTTATGATAGCAGCAGCCACATCCTGTTTTAACTATGCTACCTCTCAGCTATATACAGATTTCTTAAAAGAACCACAAATTCCAGCATGCTCTGAATAATAGTATTTCTGATATAGTCGAGGAAAATTTACAGCTATGTTTTCCCTATTTAAGGATTCAATTGCCAGTCCTTTTAAGAATGATTCCTTCACGTTTTTCATAAAAAGCAGATTTTTTTCTCTTTCCTTTAAAAAAGTAGTAGCTCGTGGAAATTTCTGTGGAGGGGGCTTAGGGGAGACAAATGATTAGAGGAAAACAGCTTTGAGAATTAATAGGCTGAGTTTACACCATTATTTTTTACTTCTCTGCCACATTACCATGGGCTTCTGCTTCAGAAAGAGAGAAAAAACAGCTTTGAATGTTATTGGGAAAGAACCTGAAAATTAGATGCACTGAGTACCCCAACTCTCTTTTTTAGGGGAATGGTGGGTACTCAGTACTGCCTCAATGGTCAAACCCTGAACTGCATATATTCAAGCTTTTGACTATGTGATTAGCCTTTCCATGGCGTTCACACATGAGTTCGCAGTGCATTTCACAAACCAGAACAATGTGCTTTTGTAGATGCATTTGAAGTTTGAACTTCTATGAATCATGCATGCAAACTCATCCTAACTTCTCGGGAAAGGATCCATACCACAAATTGGTAACAGTCTTAGAAGTCTATTTTTTATATATGGCACCCTTTGTGATAACCTAATGCTGTCTTATACTCACAGTTTTCATTCAATGCACTAAGAGCCTTTAACACTTGTGTTTCACAGAAGCATAATTTAAATACAGGGAGCACAGTGCACACACATGGTAGATATGCCTCAAATATAAAACCTAATAGAGAGTATGTTTACTCTCTGCATTGGTTTAGCAGGTCAGCTGTAGTCAAAACCAGGGAGATCAGATCCTAGTACTGCATATTAATTTATCTGAAGTTATAGTACAAGCCATAATACTCTCCAATGTTGCTATTTGTTGGGTAAAAGAAAATGTCTGGTTTCTGCTCAGGTGTCACTGGGAAGGATGTATCAATAGGAGGAAGGAGCACTTTAATTTCCTTTTGGCTACTAAGGTCATGTACAAAAATTTTTGGAAGACCCTTCCAAATATGGATTGGTATAATTTTGTACTAAAGCTAAACACTGTGATGTGAATAGGGTGGGAGGTGGGGGTAGTGTAGGGGAGGAGAACTGACAAGACCCTGGTATGGAAGAACCAGAACCAAGGGAGTGTGAGTCATTACCTCCTCTTCTTGGGACATTTGTGACAAAAGTGATAAATTACGCCAGTATACAACAGCTGTGCTTTTTATCATGTGTACTACCCTCTGAGTAAATTAGACCAACCAGACTAGCTTTTACCTTAGAATTTACCTAAAAAGAATACTCCAAACCTTTCCACTCCTGTTCACTGTTGTTAGATCCACTAACTAAAATATTAACGTTATAATTTAGATAATGTTTGTAATATAATTAGAAATACACATGTTGTTATTTCATTATACAGAACAGCCAGCAATTAAGGTGTTTTTCATCTTTGTGAAATTCATGGGAAAATTATGACTATAATATGGCACAGTTTTAATTAATGATATATTTGAGATCAATATGTAAATATAAACTGTATATGACTGCTAGTAAGTATGATATGCATTTTCAGAACTGAAAACTCATGCAGCATATTTCTGTGTTTGCATAAGGAATGTTACGTTTCTATCCTATTGCGGTTTAATGACTGGGAAGAAAGACTCAAGCAATGTCATTCTGAATATTTCCTTTATCATTCCCGGGGGTGGGACGGAGAACCAGAGTCTTAAATAATATGTTACAGAATACTTCAGAGAGTTTTTACACTCTAATACAGAGGACATAAAATCTGTCAGGTACAAAAGCACAATGCATAAAGAAAGTGAGGGATGGTCTTATACCTAGGGAAAAAATCTTGTTCATTTTAGGCAAAGTGTGCATTAAAATTAAAGGTCAGATAACTTTTACTATAAATATTAAACCGTGTTCCAATTCCATAATTAACACAGTACTTAACATAAGAGAAGTAAAAAAATGTTAAACATTATCCAAGTGTATGTGTATATAGACAAATATATTTATATATATCTATATATGCATATGTGTTTATATACACATTATATAAATACACATATTCATATGTTGGTGTGTTAAAGGAATAAGCTAATAACAGTTTTGTTTCTATCATCACCCAGAGTATGAATAATTTTTTGAGAAAACAAATTAATGTATTAAAAAAAATCTTACTATACAGGGTAACTGGGCATTTCTATATCAGCAGATCAATGCATATAATTCTTATGAAGCATTGCACAGTTTGACATTTATGATATACTGTACCTCCTCGCATCTGAAATTAGTCTAGTCCTCACATTGCTTGCCTATTTCTTCTTTTTTTTAATAACAACACTGTCCACTAGTAACTTTTCAATAACAAAAAGTCCTATTGATACCAAGAAGAAAAAAAAAGCAAAAATATTAAATATTTATAGAAAAAAATAACCTAGGGTGGGGGATGGCCAGGGTACAATATTACAATAGTAGTGATCATAACATTTTGCTATATGTATATAGAACATATAATGTGAGCAACCATGATTTAAGCTGAACTTGTGTAAATATTATCAGATTTCTTAAACATTTTTAACTTCTAATTTGTACTTTATGGTAAGGCAAAAAGCTGATTCTATTTATGGTTTAGGTTAATGTGTCCTAAAATTATGTAAATAACTAAATAAGCTGTAAATGAGCAGTCAATAGATACAGTAATTGTTTAGTGACTTTTTTTTTTTTACTAAGTACAATAATTGCAGTGCTCTAGCAGAGTAATTTAAACACCCTTTTGCATAAACAGATTTGGATTTGAGATACAAGTTTTAATACAAACATTCAAGGAAAGTACTGTAGTGTAAAATAGTCATTGCAACAATGTTACTGCTTGCATAACAGGTTATTTTTGTATGGTTAAAAAATTAAAGCAACAGAAGATTGTAGTTCAGCACTTAGTACTCAGATCAACATTAAGATGGTAGGACCTGATTCTCATTTACAGAGAGTCCCTTTTACACCACTCTGGCCAGTTCAGTAAAGGGATTTTAGTGTAAAGGAGAATCCAGTCCATAATGATTTCACTACAGAAAGCCTGTCTACTGCATCTGTTCCTGAAATCTGTCTCTCTTATGATATATATTAGTAGACTTTAAAATAAAAACATGTTTGACCGTCATTAGCTAGCATAGTCCCCCAAAGCCAAAGAACCTTCACTCCAGAAATTGTTTAAAAAGGGAAAACTAATAAGTCACTGCTTAACACCAAAGGTAAAGTTTAACAAAATGCAC